CCCCTCAGAATTGAAGTTTAATAACTCGCAATTGCGAGTTTCTCTCACAATTCTGATACAATAAGTCAGAATTGCAAGATATAAACTTGCAATTGCGAGAGAAAAAGTCAGAATTGCGAGAAAAGTCAGAATTGCAAGATATAAAAGTCAGAATTGCGAGTTTATATCGTGCAATTCTGACTTCTTTTCTCACATTTCTGACTTTGAGATAAAAAGTCGCAATTATCATTTAAATTGTTTTTATTCCTTGGTGAAAACCAAGCTTCCATAGAAATCTCATTTGCATTCAGAGGACAAAATATTGTGTTGACGCATCACCATTTTTAGTTGTATAAAATATTCTTCAAAAGTTTTTCTGTAGTGTTCCATGGAAGAAAATAAGGTATACAGGTTTGAAACGACAAGAAGCTGAGTAAATAATGCCAGAATTCCTTTTTAAAATGGGTGTGGTGGGTATATGGGCTTTGAATAGCATGTTGTGCTTCTGGGGTGTGTGTTTGATCGATGTTTGCTTATGAAAAGCTCTTAAAATGAAGCTGCTGTTTTGCAGCTCAATTAGTCCTTGAAGCAAATCTTAGGCTAGCTTTGAGTTCTTGCCAGATTTTTTTTTACTTTTTTTTTCTTTCTTTTTTTTTAACTTTTGGAGCATTTGTTTGGTTATAGGAGTTATGCAACTCTAGAACCTGCTCTGCGGTGATAACAGAAAGCTTATGGCAGCCAGGGCAGAAACTCAAAGGGTTTTAATCCCGTGACATTACCGATTATCATTGGTTAGCAGGGTCGCTGAGGAGAACAGCTTCTTTGTCTTGGTTGTGACATGTAAACCAAATGGCTTTGACGTGACATTGCAGGATTTTTTTTTACCCATGAAATGCACAGTCATTAATATTAGCAGGCTGGAAATGGGCTTTTGTGCATCATGGGGAAATCATCTGCTTAAAGTGCCAATGTATAAGAACATTCATTATGCTGATTTATTTATAATTTAGCTCTGTATACTGTGCCGATGACAAAAGAAAGCGCACAAAATAAAATGACTTTGTAATTAATAATTCAGTCTTCATAAATTGAGGTGATAAAAACTTAAATTTGATTCATTGGTTTGCTGCCATGGCGACAAATTAGAGTGTGAGATATTGCGTAAATATAAATTTAATGTCATAAGTTTAGCAATTCCAAATAGCTGATTAACTGAATAAGGGACCTTGGTGTCTCTGATTGAAATTCAATTGAAATTTTGTTCAATCAACAGAATCCATTTTAAGCAAAATACCGAATGCATGCATTCCATTTAACTGATTAAAGAGCATGTTGCCTCCTGTGAATGTTAATACTCGCATTTAAGCTCGACTAGCCAAGTTTCGTAATTCAAAAAGCAAAACATGACATTCAAAGCATGCCTGGCTCGGTTATCCAGCAAACATCTGGTCTTTTAATCTCATGTAATATTGACATGGGCGGTATGATGTAATTCTCGAAAAATCTGCCTTTTTTAAGGTACCAACGATTTGATATCTTGAATACTTACAGAAAATAAGTTTGGATTGGTAGAACTAGCTGAATTGTACCAGGTGTCCAGGATGGCACACCTGCCGTTAAACCGCTGCACTGCTTTCCTTCAATCTTCTGGTCTCTCAGAGGCAGTTGTGGTGAACATGACATCTAATTGTACTGACAGTAAGCCTCTCATACACCTTCATAAGATTTCATTAATAGTCTGGAGAAGATTATTACTCATTGCAAATGGAAATTAACCCATGGCCAGTAATGCTTATGCAGAGCGATTCTCCTGTAATCTACAGTACCGCCGTCCTTTTGCGACATAATATAAATATTTCTAGATGTTCTGCATATATTACCCAAATGTCACCTGACTGGGTGCACAGCATAGAGAGACAGATGTTATTTTCTGGTTGGATGCTACCTGCTTTTCATAGGATTGTGTCCTCAGCGCTTTATATTATCTTGTGCAGTGATATGAGGATTATAAAACTCTACACGAAGAGATGTAATCTGCTCCCTTTTAATTAATCATGGAGTCTTAAAATGGCTTAGTTTAAAAAAAACCTGCTTGTTTCATTCCTTGTTTTTTTGGAAAGAAATTCTACGACTGGATGATATAGCTAAAAATATCTCACTATTTTTCAGCCATCTGATGATGGTCATTATATGTCTTTGTGTTTGCTCTGAAATGGCTTAAAATTATTCATTTTCCATTCAGTTGAAACATAATTACAACCAAATATTAAACAAATTGGTTAAAATTGTTTAATGTATCAACTAAATCACAAAAATCGAATCAGGATTTTGCTTTTAATCTCTACAGACTTTATTTATTGTAGAGTTGACGAGAAATGTTCAAATCGCAGGATGCTTTTGAATTAAGGAAGCATGCCATGATTTTAGACTATTTATGTCCTTTCCTCTTATGGGCTGGTTTTCCCAGCATCATTGTCCCTAATTCTTAGATTTCCTTAGTTTTCAAGGTGAAATGTCATTTTGTTTTGTTTCTTCTTGGTAGGCTGAATCAGAGTGATGAAGAGTTGCAATGAATTTAGCACTCTAGTTGATTATGTAAGCACATTTTTTATTATTATTTTTTTTATTTAAATGTAATGTAAATCTGTGGTGAAAAATGGAACTACAGCGCACTCTAATTTAGAGCCATTGGGGCAGATTTCGGGCTGCCCCGCTTATTTTCACGTTGCCTTGCGTAAACCATGCTCGAGACCAAGACGATATCAATCCGCTTCAGCTATGTGTTGTCTGCATCAGGTCAGTAACTGTGTGGAGTAGCGTATATCAAATTAATGAAAGTATACATCCTTTAGTTAACGTGCTCATGTGAATAGCCTTTATATAGTTCTGTTGTTGTTTTTCTGAGAATAGGCTTTCTTTTCCTCACTGGAGATCCTCTACAACTTGTAATATTCTAAAACAACATTCCGAGGCTATAAATACTACATTAAAGGTATTGTAGGTAGAATTTTTTTTAAAAACTTTTTGCCAAATTTGTTTAAACTTTCTATATATATCAATGCATAATTAAAATGTAAGTACTCTGGAAAAGAGAGTATAAAAATCGAGTGTCTGTAGTCCTCTCAGGGCTGTAATAAACACAGCTACTTATCTCCATTCACTTCCACCCCCTCCATTCTGGGCTCCTTCCAAAACCACGCCCCCAAAACACATGAACGTGCGATGCCGACAGCTCACAGCTGGAGGACGCGCTTACTAGCGCCGAGCGGAGAGGAGCAGTGCATGTAGTGACATCATGTCAGACTCACATGTAATAAAATACCTAACTTTATCATTATGAATATAAACAACTAACATGGCTGTTAATACTCACTATCAAGCTAGCATATCGATACTGTTAAAGTTTAAAATATATTGAGTTTGATTCGTTAACGAGCTAGTAACATAAAGCAAAGCTAAAAACAGGTTGCATTGATACACGTTTTCCCATTACAATCAGTTACACTGTGATGAAGGTGAATTTTGTGTAAGATTCATAACATATACGCCGTGTTTTGCATGTAATTGTGTCTCTTACTAGTCTCTTACCCTCCTCGAGTCAAACGAGTGCGCGCATGTGGGCAGCGCATGTAGCAGCGGGGGTGTTGCCATGGTTGCGAGAGAGTGACAGTCGCCTAAGCCAATCCTTTGTTTCGTCCCGGAAGGAAATAATGAGCTGTGTTTAGTGCAGATTAAACGGTCTAGAGTCACTCGATTTTTATACTCTTTTTATCAGAGTACTTACATTTTAATTATGCATTGATATATATAGAAAGTTTAAACAAATTTGGGAAAAAGTTTTTTAGACCAAAAACGACCTACCCAACCTTTAAGGCAATTAGATATCATTGTACTTAAAGCCTGTCAATCAACATTCGAGTGCCACCCTCAGGCTGAAAAACGCTGAAAGCTGAAAGCTTGTTGTTGTGACTTTTATTTTGACGGCGCTGAGATCGCCAGTGCCTGTGCACACAGCGCTCCCATTCTCCATGTTCATTAATTTACAATCTGTTTAACAATCCTGTCTAACACGTTATTAGATAAAACAGTCATACAAAGAAAGTAGACCGTATATGAAAAAGTATTAGCGTTTGCCATGTGGTTGATGTCCAATCTCGCTAGCTGAGCAGAAATACATAATCATGTTTTGCTTGATCCCCTCAAAGTTGCGTTGGATTTTCTCCTTAGCAGGTTAAGAGGTCAATGTATCACTGTTTCCATGTTCATAGAGTTAGTTTGTGGAGTAAATATATAGGTTGTAATCTTCATACATTTTTTTTTAATGGCGAGTGCTGGTGTTTCGCGTGCGTTCGGCCAATCAGTGTACACTTACATCACTAGTTCCTATATTGTGCTGGGTTTGACCCTTCTCTGAAGGAGGAGCTAATTTAGTTCCCCTAAAAGGAGTTCCTAGAACTAAAATCGTTCCTAGTTCCTGCGGAGCGAACACACCAAAAACCGAGTATTTTCACCATTAGTTTTAGGAACTACGAAAAGGTTCCTCTTATGCGAAAACCCCTATTTTTGAGTCCATTTTGTTATTGTACAACTTAGGAGATATCTAGCTATAGCACACGTCTTATAGACTTATTTTATGATAATTATATTTTTTTATTTTGTAGCTCTAATTTCTGTTCATTGTAATTGCATAGAAAAGAGTACCTATATGTTTTTCAAAATTTCTCCTGTTTTTTTAAAGAAAGAAAGTCATATTGTTTTGGAATGACATGCGAGTGAGTAAACGATGACTGTTCATTTATGGATGAATCTCATTAACCATAATTGGTTTGATCGTGCATGTACACAGCGTGTTTCCATCATTCCAATTCAGTACATTTCATTTTTTCGTACATTCCAGACTGTATCACGGCTTGCCTGTGATTTGTTCCCTGTTGACTGTGATCTGTTTGAAGCATGACCGAACATCAAGAACCTCTTGTAAGCTGAACATGTCTCTCTTTTCCTTTCTTTTCCTTTTGAAGACGGCACGCTTCTTTGCCCCTCGATGTCACATATAACCCTGGCAACTTTATTGTGCCGCTGTGTCGAAGAAGTTACCCCTGTCGCAAATGGAAGTCTGCATCTCTTGGGTAAATGGAAGGGTTTAATACTTACTTAAGATGCTAATATCGCAGAGCTGCTGCATGGACTAACTGTCTTTTTCTCCACACATATTTGTGGCTTGGTGTCAGGTAATGCAAATTGTCATGCTCCTATCATAGTGCTGTACGACTTATTGCTCAAAAATACGAATCCATGTTCATTTAATAGATGTGTCTGCCATGACTGGGCCACAGTAGTGCTGTAATGCTCCTGCTTTGTGGCTTCTGTGGAAGCGGACCTCCTGTGTCTGATGGTGCACTCAGATGGAAAATGAAGAAACGCATAGATTCCTCCCGCTGCGGAGCAGTAGGATGCCGTGTTGCTGATTGTGTGACATGTCGAATGGTGCAGGGTTTTACCGCGCTAGTTTGGATGGACGGGCTTAAAGTATCAAATTTGAATAATGTCTTTTTAAATACCACATCATTCAGTTTCTGTCCACTGTCCATGAATGACAGTTCTGACTGAACTGTACTGTGGATGTCTAATGCCAGAGTCCAATTGCCATGTTCCCTTTGTAAATAAACTACAAAATATTGTTAAATGTATATAAAAATATTATAATTTTAATTAAATAGAAAAATATACATATAACAGTTATTTAATAATATTTTTATTTAAATATAACATGAATTTAAATAAATGTATAATAAAAATAATGCTTAATATAATTTCATGTATGGCATGAATCAGTGGCGTAGGTTTGATTTTGAAATTGGTGGGGACGGGGACATCAATATATAAATATATTTTAAGTTTTGATTGAAATTATTGCTAGGGATATATCAGTGTCACTGGATATTGGTAGGGACACGTCCCTAGCGTCCCTACTAAATTCTACGCCCCTGGCATGAATTATTTATGGTTGAACATTTCACTTGCTATTGGCAGGTATGGTGAAATGTTTTGGACTCCGTCTACAGCTACCCTCATATTTTTTTCCCCTTTATGAGTCTTATTTAAACATTTTGATCAGTGTATCAGTGTCATTGTTTAATCCTCAATGTTTAGTCCTCCATTTTCTGTGCTGCACAAACGTACAGGCAGTCAGAAGATATATAATGTTTAGTACTTTCAAATCATACCAATAAGACATTGCTACATGCTAGAAAAGTTTTCCACAATATATTTAGTATAGAAAAGATTGTAGTCTTTGTCTAGCACACAAGCATAGCCAATAGGACGTCCAGAGATCTCTCATGATTATAAGCCTCTGCTAGTTTGTATGAAAATTCATGCTAGCCTGGCGTCCGTGGAGGATTGTTATTCCGTGTCCTGTTAATTAGCTGTGTTGTTTAGCCTTGTTTGATGATTTTTAATTAGCTTTGGTGATGACAGGTTCTGATAAACATTAGTGATTACCGCGAGGGCTCGAGACGTCCCTGAACATTAACTGCCGTTGACCACGGATCGAGATAACATGTCAGGCTTAGAGTGCAACTACAAATAACATCGGTCATCCCGTGGGATCTTGGGCTCAAACAGTTGGGTGGAGCGTTTGGAGATCTCTCAATCCTGGTTTCATGAGATCAGACTTTGCTTGAGCCATGCAGGGAAGGCAATGATAAAAGGATGAAATGAAAGAACATTAAAGTGTGCGAGCATGGGCTCAGGCCTGTGAATGAAAACAAAATGTTGAGACTAGTGATGGATGCACAGTAACCATTTTTGGGATATGTGAAAGACATCACCACCAAAAACAGAAAGGCACCACCAAAATTGAATTGATTGGAAAAAATGTGGCAACATTTTTATTATATTTATGATATTACGCTGCTTTTAAAGTTAAATGTCCAGTAAGTGCATGGCACTAAGGCCGCGTGTCCACCAAAGCTCTGCTCAAAACGCCTAGCTGTGGGCGCCTGAGAGCATTTTGGTAGCGCAGCATTTTTTTCAGTTAAAAAGTATTTGCACTGGCTCTTGTTTTGAAATATTTTGTTCTGTTATTATTGTACTTGACGTTGTGCAAGCAGAATAAGTTAATAATAATTGAATCATGAAATTTGTGTCAATACCGTAAGGCCCTGTGTCCACCAAAGCTTTTTTTTATGTATTTTTCCAATTGTTTTCAATGGGAGCGCCACGTTGAAAACAATGTCACGTTGAAAACTGAGCATCTTTCTCACGCTGTGAAGCACTGAGTGCTCTGCGTTTTTTACTGGTTGCCAAAAGTTGAAGAATATTCAACTTTTGGTAAAACGCAGCACTGTCACTTTTTACCTAGCTGTCCAATCACAGGCGAGGAGGGGTGGGACAAATACCACACTGACCAACCAACCGCCACATTCTGCTTGTACAACATCAACAGATGACAACAACAAGCATAATAACTGAACAAAATAATTTAAAACAAGAGCCAGAGCAAATACATTGTATCAACATTTTTATATAGAAACAACACAGAAACAAACTATTTGTGAAATAAGATACTAGTAACACTTCTGCGGATATTCTGTATCATAGCAAGCAAAAAAAAAAAACTGAAAAAAACCCCCGCTGCGATGCCAAAACACTCGCAGCGTTTAATTACGTTGGTTGTTGTACGTACGTATTGAAAATAATGAACTACCTATAGTACACTATCATTTATGCTTAGGGTTTAGTGTTAACAAATGCAAATATGAGAAAAACGCATTTGCCGAAGCAACCATGTCAATTTAGTTTGTTTCTCCAATTTTTTGATCTCTTTAATCGTGACTCTTTTTCACTTGAATCGGGATTCTCATCGCAAGTGCAATGCTGTACCAAGTGAGCTATCAAGCAGGTTTACTACAGCAGAAAAGCTATACAAATGGAGTTGGTTATGTGATGCAAACATCAAAATCAATGTATTAGTTTACAAACCATAAACTACGGTAAAAGTGTTTTGAGGTCATGCCATAGTATTGTACAAAGAACAGTGCAAAATAAGTCATTAATCAATCTGCCTCTGTAATCATAATTTGAGTGAAAAGTAATACAAGTTGTTGCCATTGTATTGCCTTTAGTGTTCATTTCAACTGAAACTCCAATTCATTCTATGTATAGGTACGTTTTTGGAGTTTTGCAAAAAATTCCAATGAGCCTAGGTTGAAAATTGACATGGCTCTGAAGCAATAAGGAAATGGCTATTGATTAGAGAGACCCAAATGCAATTCTAGAGACACAAGTTACGACTATCATACTAATCGTTTCTTAAAACCGAACTTCAAATAGTATTGTTTTGCTGCTCTTATATACTTCATTACCAGCTAGCAAGAAAAAAAAACATTCTGAATCAAGAATGCAATTACATTTGAAGGCCAATGTTGATTTTAGACACAATAAAAGAAGATTCTAGCCTCTGCTATGTATTAGCATGCAAATTACAGCCTCTGAACTTCAACGAGCAGGTTCTTAATTGCAAAAGCCTCATATTAGTAATCAAGGACTCCACTCTGAGACCATGAGATCGATAGTAGTGGTTGCTGTCGGAAAAAGGCTTTCAGGTGATTGCACTCTACGCAGACATATATCAGCAGCTGCTAAGTTACCTGTTGTGTCATTCCATTGGTTGGATTTGCATACTGTCTTAATACGTACTCTGCTAGTACATACCTTACGTAATGCAGTACATTCTGTGTATTGTTTGTAGTATGCAACATTTCATTATGTGATATAACCTTGCATGGGATGCTGTATTCCACAGTGCAATGTACTTGCAAGTTAATTGTTGTTTATGTGTGGAATAACATCAGCTGGACACAATGCAATGCATGCACTTGGCTTTTTTTTTTACCTTCTATTTGTGTGTGTGCGCGTTGGATTATCTCTTTTTCTGCTTTTTTAAAAACATTTTAATGAATTATTTATTAAATTGTTAAATTGGACTGATTGGCCAAATTGACCAAGTTAACAAGAATATCCTTTGCTTTTTATGCGTGTTTGTTTTTGGAAATAATATCAACCACATTTTTTTTTTTAACGTCTCTTTCTTTTCGCTCTTTTTATTATTTAATTTTTGTTACTTTAAGTGAAATTGAATTGTCAAGAGAACAAATTTTAATGAACAATAAGATGGAAAATTGCTAAATAATTGTTTTGATTTTCAAGATAATAACTACATTCCACTCGCTGAATAAAACGTGCAATCATGAGGTCATGACAACAGTTTAGCATAAACATTTCACATTATTAAAAAACATATTTAATGCAGTATACAGTAAAAACATTCCAAACATGACCATAGAGACGATAAAGAATCATTTTTGCTAATATACTCTCTGTATTATATATGTCTGTTCTCCCCTCTGGTTCTCACATGCAGGGGATCTTTGCGTGTCCATTAAAGGGAGTGGCTGAGTGTGGAATTCATCAGTATGCGAGCTGTGTTGAGCAGGAGGTAGTCACATACTTGAATCCACTGGCAGACATTCGTATCCAAGCTACTTTGATCTTAACTCCTCGGCTTCTACATCCATCCCTGATATATCAGGACCTTATGTTTCTGTTCATTCACCATATTTTACATATCTACTGTGCCACACACATTTCTAAAGGAGAGTAAATGGAGCTCTTTTAGTCTGTAGGACATACTATATACACAATCAGTGCAATTTCCTCTAGTATGTTGGTTTTCTTGTTCTTTGTAGTGACTGTACCGTATATAATAATTGTCATCCGCTCTAAAGAGTCTTAAGAAGTTAAGTTTGGTGGTTGGAGCTCTGGAATGTATCTTTTTTGCTCTGCAGTGGGTTTGTTGTCAACCGTGACAGTGCGTATACTGGCCCAGTCTGTGTGATTTGTCAATATAACATCTCAACTTGTCACCACAGGAGGAAGAATTTTGACAACAGTCAAACCAGCATGCTTCAATGGAAGCTGCAAATGGACTGCAAAACAGCAGAGCATGCTCCCACAAAACTTCTTCTTCCACAAAACAAACCCCCTGAAAGATGAAAAACGTGCTTTGATTCAATAACGCACGTTGTAATGCTATTGGACTATGTTCTTTTTTAGCTTGAAGTGT